TTGTGCATCTGGTTAGACAAGCAGTGTAGGATCACAAGAATAAATTTCCTACTGCTCATGCCCATGGATAAAATTACAGTGGATTTAGACCATAGAGATTGTCTGGGAGACTTTTCCTCAGATTATTACATATACCACTGTGAAAAGCAAAAGCAGGTGGTATTTGATATAGATGTTGGTGTTCCGCACAAAGTATCATCCTCAAAATACATTAGTTGGATGAGGATTGGAGAAAAAGAACTATTTTATGTACCCCTTCACACATTACAGACCAGTGATCACCGTATTTGGAATAGCATTGCAAACTAGAGAAATAGAAATTTTAAGTCCAGAAGATGCTTTAAGAAAATAGGTCTTTTTTACTCATTGTTTAGGAGCATACTTGGTTGCACATTGTTCTGGTGGCATAAATTAGATTGCTTTTACTGGGTATCACAAGAACAACATACATTGAGATGAAACAAAGTCTTGACTGAAAATGTCAGTAGCTTTGATTTTATTAAATACAACTGGACAAATTGCTTTCTATCACTTTGGCACTGATTGGTTTTGTATTAACAGTTTGTTTGCTGATGTGGAAGGGGGTAGATGTTTTCTAGCCTTATGTTTTACAATTCAGAAAAGTAACCTTTGGCTTTGAACCCATATATTTTGGGGGAAATAATCATTCTCACATATTTTCTGGGGGAAAAAAAATACAGATTTCTACACTGCCTCCCACATTATTTCCACCTCACTAGGGAAACGTAACTTGTGACCATGAAATGCTACTTATTATTGAATACTATACTGTGTAGTTCAAAGTATACATCATCACTTACAGTCTGAAAGTCAATTTTAACTGTGTTCATGCAATAGGGATCAAACAGAAAAGGAAATTATGATCTACACGTAGGGTTTATGTGCAATTTATATTTGACAGTTGATCTCTTACCCACATCATAACCTTTGCTGCTGTCCAAAATTTTATCTTCCATACACAAAAAATGATTATAGAAATTTACAATAAAAGACTATCAAATCAGATCCCCAAATAACATTTATTCAGACGTGACAAAATAATAATTACCTCTGAATTCACTGAGCGGAGTGATTTTGAGCTATTCTTTATGACAATTCTGAAAGTCTTCAGTGTGCCTTTCTAGACCTTCTCATTACTTTTTCCAGCTCCCCTTGAATTGGGATCTTGTAGTGTTTTTTTTTAATTGAAGCTGATGAAAATGTAAAGTTTTCAGGAGAAGTCAATTGTAAAATTGGATTTCAATGCAGTTTAATAGTAGAAAATTGGAAGTGGCCTAATGTTGTTTTTAAAGTCCTTCTCTTTATTGCAAAGGGTTAATGGAGGATAGGATGGTGAAACATACATTGTGAATGCAAATCCAGCTTGGAAAACTAATAAGCCTTGAAAATCCCCTCTGTCCACAGTTCTCACATTATCATTATAGTAATGATGACATTACACTGGTTATTGTACAAATAAATGCTTAGTTTGCTCCTTTTTTTATCCCCCACCATAACAGCTATATACAATCCAATGGGTGTTGGTTTTTCAAATATATATGAAATGTATAAAAATATTCAATGCACAATAATTAGACATTTCTTTTTTATGAAGTTTAATCCAGTACTATTCCAGAAGGACTTGGAAAAGTTACTCTCAAAATACCCAGGCCAGTTTGGACATTTGTCACACTTTCTGACTCTGCAATCTAGAGAGCAGGGGGTAGGAAAGAAGGGAGAGGGTAATTAGAAAAAATGTCTTTCTGGAAAAGTGATAGGTAGTCCTTCTCTCTATACAACTTTTCCAAATTTTAAACCTTTTCTCCCAGTGATGGCTGCAATTAGGTAAAAAGATATCTGTCAAGATATATTTTGCATAGCTCTCCTACGTCACATTTTGTACGGCCTCAAAACCTTGCCCCCCTTTCTTATTAGTCTATTTCATTTTTTTTCATCACCAACAACTCTCCTCCACTCTAGAAACATATAAAATATCAACATATAAGAAGTCTTTTAAAAATGTGTGTGTGTGTGTGTGTGTATATATATATATATATATATATATATATATATATATATATATATATATATATCCCTAATACCAAATCAGGAGGTTTCAGTGAAGAATTCCAATTTTCCATCCAATTTCTCTTCTCCATAATTTCTTTCCTCTCCTTGATTCTTAAATACTTGTACAAAGGATATTCATTTTCCTACAGCTTGGTAAAACTTACCATATATACTCGAAGATAAGATAAGACAAGTTTTTCAGCCCTTTTTTGAGCTGAAAAAGCCTTCCTTGCCTTATAATGGGATCAAGGCCAGGCAGTCATGGGTGCATGGAGGCCATTGCTTGCAATCTATGATATATTTCTCTCCCCTTCACCTCCTTTGACAGTGTGTTTTCTTTTCCAGTCAAAGGGAGGAAAGGAGGGAATAGAGATATATTTCATGTCCTCCTTGTTTGTATGGCTCTCTTTCAAACCTACCCACTTTCCTGGCCTTTTTGTGTGTGTATCTAAATGTATTAAATTATATGTGCATTTTTGTGCCCTTGGTATTTCTCTGCTCATACATTTGCACGTATTTGCAAATCCTATATAAATATAGATATCTAGAGATTGCCACATACCTGTATATCTATATCTATATGTATAGAGTATTTTATATATGAATTGAATTTTCCCCTCACATGTTTGCAATTCTTTGCAAATCTTATATAGATATAATTATCTCTATATAGAGAGATGTCTAGATAGATAGATATGAATATAGATATATAAGGCTTGCAAATATTGTAGGAAGGAAATGCACATATAGAGAGCATTTGCAAACGTTTCAAGGGAAATGCATATGTGAAATTAGTATATATAATTATAGTTCCATATCTAGCTCTGCATTGTTTATATATGCATTGAATGTTTGCCTGTCACTATGTTGGAAGCTGGTCTGAGTCCCCATGGGGAGATAGGGCGGGATACAAATGAAGTTCTATTATCACCACCATCATCATCATAATTAAGTTATTGTTGATATCAAACTATTGTTGATAGTTTACTGTTGCTGTTTTTTTTTAATTATGGTAAATATTCAAAAACATTTAACCTACTGATGCCTCAATTAATGTAATTTTATTGATATAAATTTTTGTTTTGAAATTTACTAGTAGCTGCTGCATTGCCTACCCTCGGTTTATACTTGAGTCAATAAGTTTTCCCTGTTTTTTGTGGTAAAATTAGGTGCCTCAGCTTTTAGTCAGCTTATACTCGAGTATATACGGTACTTACAAAATGGAAGGCAACCTCATATTTTGGGAAGAAAAAGTATGAAAGTTGGAGATTTGAAATACATGAAAATGAAGAGTTTCCCCAGTGCATAGTTATAAGTCTGAGATAGAGATGATAAAGTGACGACCACCAGTTAAAATAAATTTAAAAGAAAATTGGACCAATTTCCAGTGCTTTCGGTGACTAATAGTCATCATGGATTAGTACTGGAAGCACAGATAAGAGGATGCTGCTGCACTCATATTCTACTTTATGGGGACTCCCATAGGCAACTGGTTGGCCACTGTATGAGAATACAGTTAACTCTCCAGATTTCCGGGTGTAATTTTTGTGGACTTTGTAGATTTCATAAGTACTGTATGCTCTCTCTCTAGGATTCTCTCGGACCTCCAGGGCAACTTTATGGATTTGATTAATATGTTATCTCTAAGATTCCCAAAATAACTTCTGGCCAAAGTTGAGTCATGCTAGGGATTCCAGAGAGAGGTTGTCTCATGTTACCATCTTAAAAAACTTTTTTAAAACACTCTTGAAGGAAGCACTGCACCCTAACTCCCATGAAAATGTAATGCTGCCAGATTTGTTTTGATCCTACATGGATTTCCCTATAGCAGGAAGGAATATGGTGTAATGCACCCCTTCCTGAATGAACCTTTAAAGTGGTGTCTAATTCTTTTTGATCCCTACTCCACAAAATGGACTAAATGTCATTCTAAAAAAAAATCACATATACAAGCCCATTCTTCTTGTTCCTGGTTAAACCTTTCAACTTCACTTCATAAATTGCTGTTTTAAAAATATATTTCTAGGGCACATTGAAATTATGCTGTAATTCTGAAAGGGAGAACCTGTGGTCCTTCAGATATAGGGATCCAATTCTCTTCATTTCAGCAAACATGGCTGGGGATGATGGGTTTTAGAGTGAGGGGCATGGATTCTCCACCCTGTTGCAAAGCATCTGTGTTTAAAAAGTAGACAGGTGTCCCAATTTGCAGAGATGAAAGTCATCCTCTGTTTTAAAGGCTGTCCAGTACAAGTCCAGTTTAAAGAGGAAGAACAGGGACACTGCTTGTGAATAGTTAGCATCTGACAGAGAGACGTAGCAATCACATGGATCGTGCTCTCATTTTCTCCACCTCTGTCGAGAGATGCACTGTAAAATACAAATATATGTTCTCCTCTGCCTTCCTTTTTGGATTATGCATATTCTCTTTTCAGCCATGCAAAGGTAACTATTTTGCTGCAACTCTGTTATTTTTCCTGTCTTCCTGCTCCCACTGAAGTCTTTCTTCAAAGGGTAAAAGTGGGAGAACTGACTAGATGAAGGAGATCCTATTTCTTTATTATGTCTTTCTGTCTGAAGCTATGAACTCGCAAGGGAGAGCAAGAGGTGGGAATTTTACCTAATGTGCGTAGGTAACATGAACCATAAATTCAAGTATCAGATGTAACGTGCATCAAATAAACATATTTTCTCTTTCTGTCCTTAAGAACTCTGTCACAATTTTCTGCTTTTGTGCTTTCTTCCTTTGCTATGTCACTTAACCAAGTAAATGGACATTAGCTTTTCTGGGGTGGCTTTGGGGCTTGAAGGCTTTTTGACTGAATATTTATTACCCATGGGAAGATGTAATTTTTTTATTGGGGGAATGGAAACAAAATATAAATAACAGCTAGGTGAAAGTTTGTTTTGCCTCCCTATCTTTAAAACAGACAATAGCCATGGGGAGATGACTCAGCCGACATTGACTATCCAGACTCATCCCTATCGAAGCTGTGACCCAGTGGAAATGTCCTATCCCAGGGGACAGTTCCAGCCAGCAATCCGAGTAGCTGACTTGTTGCAGCACATCACTCAGATGAAACGGGGACAGGGCTATGGATTTAAAGAGGAGTATGAGGTGAGAAGAATATTCACTCACTTGAATATAGAGAAAATGCAATTAATGTTATTGTCAAACCAAAATGAGTGCTCTGGAGAAGCACTTTCATAGTTTAAGTGCCTTTATATGACCACTTTACCATATCACCATCACCTCCATTTGCTACTGAGTCCTCTTTCTGTTATATGCAATGACATATTATCCTGCTTCGGAGGATCAAAATGATCTGCCCTAAATCAATGATGTAGAGGAAATGTTGATTTCTTTCCCACAAGGGCTTCCCAACACATGCAACTGAAAATGACTCATAAGATTTCCATTCTTGTTGTTTTTGTGGTGGTAGTAATAGTAGTAGTAATAACAGAATGATCCTGTCTTTCTCATAAACTTGGAATTTAAGGCAGCTTATAATTTCAAAAAGAGCAATACGACTAAAACCATAAAAAGAGAACAATAACATTTAATTAAATTATTCATTGCATTAAAACAATTCAAACCTACATTTTAAAAGATAAAATGGAATTGAAAAGATAAAGAAAATATTAAATTAATTGAGTTTAAAATCATGCAGCACACTTAGTATCGTCTGTAAAAAAAACTTTGTTATAATAGTCTGTCACAATGAAAAACCATTTGCCTGCCAGCAGAAGGATAGCAAAAAAGGAGTCATTTATTGAAGGAAGCCCCAGAATCAGCCCTCAACTTGCAAAGACAAAAAGTTAAAATGTGAAACTTCTGGGCTCTGAAGTTTTTAAGTGCCAGAACTAAATGCAACTCACAGAAGGCATTGATTAAACTACTAAACATCACAGCAGCCTGTGAATCCGTTGCAATATGTTCACCCATTTCTACATAACTGTAGCAATTGTACTGCTGCTAAAAGGATAATTTAACAGATAGAGACAATGAACTGTTATTGGTACAGAAAGTTAATTCATAGCCTAGATACTTTTTCTAATTTTGGCTAGAGCACAGTCATTGAATCAAAGTATTAATGCACCACGCAAAAGTTGGTCATCTCTAATGAGAACAAATAAACAGGATTTCAGCCATCATTTTAACGTGTACCAAAACATTTTGAACACAGTTATATCACAGTGTTTGCATTTCTCCGTAACTGCAGTCCTTAGGGGCATGAAAAGAAACCTTCTACATAAAATGCTTCCTGCTATGAAAATAGCTTGCAAAAACATGTATCTGAGGCTAATTTATAAACAGATTCATATATTTTAGGGGGATTTTGTGAAAATGCATACTTTTTGATGCAGTCTTTCTGAAAACTGAACAAGAAAAAAGGATGTCTCAAAGTTAAGACTTTAAAAATAAAAAAAATTGAAAGAAAGCAAAAATGACAGATTGGTTCATCCAAACAAAAAATTTCTCTTTCTGCCAACTGAAGACAGCTACCACTGTAAAGTGAACTGTGGATTGATTCCTATAACAGAACTAGTAAATGACTTTTTTGTGTAGAAAATAACATTATTTTCTATGGTGACAATGCTATTTCCTGCACAAAAAATGCTGTCATTGGGGATTTAATTTATACAAAATTCATACATTTTTTGTGTGATAGATATTTTCTGCACTTAAAGTAGCATTTCCTATAGTGAAAATAATATTTCTTCAAAAAGTTTTTAAAAACAGATTGTATGTGAATTTTCCACAGAATAGATCTAAACTACCAGATAAAAAATTTCCTTCTGGCAGCTCTCCAGTTCTTGAATAAGACATTTTTCAATGATTCTGTTTAACTAGTATTTTTTTCCATCACTTCTATGTAGCATAGGCAATCAATGACTTCTTCTGTGACTATAAGATATATACAAAATTATTTTGGTAACATCATCCTAAATCATTTGGATCATCTTATGATTTCAAGAGATGTTTGAAAGTTTTTGAAGGGTACAGAGGGGCAGCGGTTGCAGATTTAGTGAGCCCACATCATATGTGCATTCCGTGAGATATATGAAATCTGAGGATTCATAGTAGGAAAATGAATCATTTGAAGTCACTGGCACTCAACCCTGTCATCTGTAGACCCTACTCCTTGTCTTCTGCAACTACAGTATAGCTCAATTTTACAATTTCAACATGGAATTTCTTGGTGCTATAGTGTAAGACAGCCTTACTCCTATAATGTAAATGACACAGAAGTTTATCAGAAAAGATTTACAGAAGCCTATTGCCTATATCAATTTAATGATGTCTCTTTTGTTTTGTTTTTCAAAATTAATGTGTTGCTTAGTCAAATCCAACTGTCAGATCTTGCAGAGATAAAGCTGAACAATTGTTTTTAGGAAGGATGAAGCCCTGCAATTGAATATGACAATGTTAATGATAGAACATAGTAATAAGCCTAATGAGGATCGGCAGAGTTTTTGATGGCTAGAGCATATGAGGATAGGTAAGAAATTAAAAATTCACTGCAGGTTATTAAAATACATTTCTTCACAAACAATAATTGAATATGTGCTGAGGTGCCCTCAGATAATGATAGAGGATGAATACACACATTTTATTTCTTTATCCTGAGCCATTGTGGTAAGCTTTCATGTAAATGGCATCACTTTATATTTACTGTTATTGTTAATCTAATCTCCAAATTTAATTTATAATTGCCCTAGCTCTCTTAGTTTCAGAGGAAGGTAGTGGCAAATGCTAATTTGAACAAATTTTACCAAGAGGGCTCCATTATATAGTTACTGTAGGTTTGCTGTAAGTCAGAAATGGTGCGAAAGCATACAGAAATATTAATTTCAATTAAAGGTTTATTCAATTGCAAAATTTATTTGTAGATTACTTGCTATTGCTTTCTTCTTAGTGTCACCCAGTAGTTTTCTATGATTGATCAGGGATTTGAATCCTGGTGTCCTAGAATTCTAGTTCAACACCCAAGACGCCACACAACAGTGGCTCAATAACATTCCTCTATCCATTTCCATTCTCCACATAGTATTTTCTGATAAAATGGTCCACAATTGGTTACTGGGTGAACATTGTTACAGTAATAGATAGGGATTAAAAACTCAAAAACAAAATAAATGTTATTTCCATTTTATTTCATTCTAACTTTTCTGCCAGTACAGGCTTTTCTGGCATAACAGATAAACAAAGGGTATTTTGTTCTATTACAAGTACAAAAGGTATTTTTCTTCTGGTTCTTGTTTCCTTTCTATGGCAACTGAACTGTCCATGTGGCTTTTGAATTATGAAAGGACAGGTGCTGACAAAATAGTTTTGATGCAGAAGGGGGGGGGGGGGAATCAATAGTTGCTGCAGTAATACCATGCGGGGTCATCTATTTGAAGGACTGAGATGTTCTATTCCCAGCCCTGGCATGTTGTGTTTAGGTTTATTGGCCTTAAAAGAGATTGTACTATCTCCAGATGTGAGGAAAAAACTCTACCAATCCTCTGAAAGAGCAAATAACTATCAGCATCGATATTAATGTTCTGTAGTATGTATAAGCATTGAGCACATATAACTAAATTACAATTAGCATTTTTCAATCCAAGAGAGCAGTTGAAGTAGTAAAAATACTGAACATGCCTCTCAGTTCAAGAAACTTAGCAGACAAAGAATAAACAACTAAAGTATGGCTGAGAAATCTGTTACTCTCCAGAAATGTCTGGATTACAATTTTGACTCTAGCCACTTTTGCCAATGATGTTGGCTACTTCATATTAAAGCAATTACATGAAGAAAAACTCTGAATGTTCTGATGAAACAATACAAATGAACAAACTATAATTTCCCACAAATGATGGGAAATTATTGCAAGTTGTGATGGTACAGAGCACAAACTCATCAACACAGTATGATCTAGAAAAGAAAGTGTTCCTTAGAAGTAAGAAGCTCAATAAGGAACTTCAGGTCTCAGCATTTAAAAATGTGAAAATACTTTGCTGTTCTTTGATCATTGGGATATGCTACCCCTAGATATAACAAAAGAAACATATAAGTATATCTGAAATCACATCAAATCTAATTTTTGCTAGAATTTGCAGAATTTTCTATTCAAAAACCCCCACATGTGGGTTGTTGTAGGTTTTTTCAGGCTATATGACTATGTTCTAGAGGCATTCTCTCCTGACATTTCGCCTGCATCTATGGCAAGTATCCTCAGAGGTAGTGAGGTGGGGTGTGACCACATGTGACTTTTGCACAGAGGAAGCCCCAATTATGGCAGTCATCTGCAAGAAGCAGAATTTTCTACACAAAAAATATAATATCTCTATACTGTATTCGGTATGTTTGGAATGTAAAATGATGCCTTATTTATTAAGTCTATGGTTTAGGGGTGGCTGTTCAGTAGTTAAATGCACTTTTTTCTAGACTGCTGACCATTGCACATGCAAATATATTTGAGCTTCTAAGACCAGACTTTGTCTTTTAGTATATTATCATATTCCATAAATTACAATCTGTTTCGTATCATAATAATATATAATTTTGCCATTATGAATTCCTTCTATGAGCTTGTTTCATCAATCACTAATTCTGGCTAAAGACTCTTTTACCTCCATTTAATTGTTTACAATCTTGTCACCTCATATGGATATCTCAAATATACTTGCTTTTAATGTTATTCCTACCCTACATTAAGAAATGGTTTGTTAGATAGACTAGGTGGGGCTCTGAAGTATGTCTCTAACCATTTTATATTTAATGTGACTGTTCCACCTAAACGTATGGCCCTCCTGATATTGGACTGTAACATTCCCCACTATTGACTGTGTTGCCTAGAGCTTATAGCAACTTCCATCCAAATGTATCAGGAAGGGCTAAACCAACACCAAAATAAAACAAAATAACAGGATTCAACAAAAAGCAATGAAAATAAGGAGTCATAAGTGAATGTGAACAAAATCAAACCATATTAATTGGTTGTCAGACTTATATCAAAGAAGCACACCACAAATATGATTGGAAAAGAGTATTAGAAACAATTTATTATAACCAAAAATTCCCTTTCTTTGGTCATCATTTAAATTTTCTCCATAATTATAGGCATTACA